CATGGGGCCGCAAAAGGCGCGCCTATTAAGTGATCTATTGGAAGGGAAGAAAGAGATCTACTGATCAGGGCCCGACCGGAGCATATAAAAGGGGCACCCTTCAGAGACAGATTATTATTGGTATTCTTTGTTTCAGCCACCCATCCCCTCAACCCCCCTTCTCCGCTCGGGAGACTTCGCCCACAGCAGCCACAATATTCGCACCCGATATATTCTTTTTTTGTTCTCTGTTTTTTTTCCGCTGATTGTTCATAAGTGTTCTAATAAAATTTCTATCGTCTGATTGTGATCCGTACACTCGGTCTCAGCCAACTTGATCTTACAATATTACTTATAGTGTCATTCGCTTTTATTGTAATAGATGTTGCAGTTTTTACCTTTTTACGACTGTCTTATACAGCGTAATTCAATAAATAAATAAATAAATAATAAATAAATAAACTTATATACATATATATACAAGCATAATTACATACATATATATCTATTCATACATTACAGAACACATTACGTATCATTGTACTATAAATTATTAACCACAGTAATCTGAGAAGATACGTTATATTCCATGACAATACACTCCATTCCCGCCAGTGTCTTCACCTCGGATAGCGGCTCAAGTGCCAAATTCTACCCACCTGCACCATCCCACCGAAGAAGGGTTCTGTTGATGCTGCGCCTTCATGGCTCACACCCATCTTGGAGAGATAGGACGAATACTTCGAGAAGTTTGAGGAAGCCTATGAGCTCTTTTTAAGGGTGCAGGAGACACAAAGTATAATCCTCAATAAACTGGATAGTTTAGAGCGCAGATTGCTGTCGACGTGGACCGCAACGATAGCTCAAGGTCGGCCCTTTATAGCACCCTAGTTAATTTTTAATGTAAGTCCAGAATAATTGATGAGAAGCCTGTAGAATCACTTGAGTTGGAATTTGTCGAGCAAGCAACGGAGACTGCCACTCACGTTTTTGACAAAGAAGCGATCAAGGAGGTCATTGCATCCTCCGGTGACGAGGAGCTAAACGAATTCAACTCAGGGAACCACTCACTACAGGCATCCGAAAACCAAACCAAATTCGCGGAATCATAATGCCACGTATCATTGAAATTAGTTAAGGGATCCAGCGCCTTAGGGACAAGCTTCTAGAGCCCATGGATCTGGGCGGCTCTCGCTAACCAAGACTTGGTGCATTCCTATGCCCGGACGGATTACACTAGGGAAGAATTGGAGTATGATCGCTCCCTCCGCAGGAAAGCCGGGATGATGAACCAAGAAGAAGGTAAGCTTGTTTATGTGGTTCGCGACCTTGCCATTCACAAGCTTAAGAAGCCCCGGGACCTCCAATCGCGAACAAGGTAACAGGTCCTTGCCGTCCCCGCCCCAAAGCCCACAAGTGTGCCCTACCCCAAATTCTTTCTGCCCTTTTTTCCCCTGCGGCATGCGGCCAATCACTGAGTGCAAAGAGGGTTCATACATGAGTGATATCCCCTATGTTCCTCTAGGGCTAGCCGTGTACGAGCGCGGGGGTTCTCTTATTGAATGCGCGCTCTATTTTCAACAAAATTGCCGATCTCAACCCTCTCTAGCAAAGACCTGCGCAGTTTTCATCATCGAAAGCTGATGCAAAACCAACACAGTTTATGATGCGATACTGAGCTGAGTCGATATGGTGTACCGTTGTGACACGGAAGGCTGGAGATGGAGTGCTGGCTCTCATCCATGAAGAAATAACACACTACTTTCTAATCAGAAAAGACTTTTCTGAACTTATGCAAGCAATAGTGTTCGAGATCAAATCTGGCTCGGAAAAAGTTTGCATGGTACTTGCCCACCAGTAGTCCATACTGCATCACTGCTGTTTTTTCGGTTTTACCGATTTCCCACGTGACCTTTTCGATGAATGGGATGGTCGCATTTCTGTTTCAGGGGACCTCAACTTTCCCTAATCGATTGGGCCAGTATGACCTGCAGAGAAAATGTCTCTTCGCCATTGCGTTCCCCTCTCCCCTTTTTGAGACAGTTCAACCATAAAAAAATGGTGAGCAAAAAAGAACATGGACTTGACACCTTGAATGTTCTGGTTTCTGATCCAGATATGATCAAGAACCTGAACGTTCTTCCGCCTTTAGCACTTCTGATCATAAACGCGTACGTTTCGATATCTCTTGTGTGCCGTCCTTCACCCAAGACACCTCGAGATCGTACAAATGTTATCCCAAAGGGAATTACGACCAGGGTCAACCTCCCGTTGTGCAAAGAACAACGAAGGAGTCATATTTGGTCAACGGAAGGAGAAAGGGTCGCAAATCTCTGCACCAATCACAAGATCTCAAGCTGTCAAGGCATGGTTAAGGGGCAAAGGAGAACAGACGTTCAACTGCCGATGGCTGATGTCAGAGTCCGCGATCCTTTGCGCGATTTTCGCGATTTGCGCGATTTGCGCGATTTTCGCGATTTGCGCGACGGGTCACGGAAATCACAAGTGCCCGATCAATACTGCAAGGTGTTCTCCAATCCCGCCGTCACTTCTGCTTGATGGTTATGGTTTAATGGAGACTGCTCATGATTCCACTTGTTTCATATCCAGTGTTTCAATTGTTCAAATGGGGCACTTGCAATTTTTGTGATTGGTTTGGTTTGATTCCTGAAAAAATAGGAACGATTCAAGAGCATTTCAATGAACTAATAGACATTGAACATGAAACAAGTAGAACCACAAACATTCGTCTTCCAATCTTTACTGCCAAGCAGAATTCGCAGCAGGATTAAACAACACCTCGCAGTATTCATCGGGCACTTCCAACTCCTGTGATCCATCGCAGGTTTCGCGAAAATCGCGAAAGCGGATCGCGGACTCTGACACCAGCCTTACGATTAGGGCCATAGACGATTGAATGGCGGCTCCCAGGAGGGAAATTTCCTACCGAAACACGTCACTTCCCTATGTGCAGAAGCGAATATTTATCCAGAAAAACTCCCATGCTTTCTATAACAGATCAAAGTAAAGCAAGGTGCAGCAAATTCGCTGATTCACCTCTGAAGTACTAATAGAAACCTGTGGTAGGAAGAGATTCTCTTTTCAAAATAATCCTTGCTAGTGATCTATCTTGTTATTTGTTCTTATCAATCGTACTTCTGTCTTCTTTCTTTACCGTGAATTTGTCATTTGAGCAGATACTTTTAACTTTGAAGGCAAACCCCGGGATTAGCCGGACTCGTTGGAAGGATACCGCGAGGGAAATAATAAGACCCGCACCTACCTAGATTACTTCAAATTGACCGCGAAAATGACTTCACCGCGGTTAGGGCGCTAATCCTTACGGGCCTCCAACCATCGAACGCTTCCCACCCACCGCGAGATGTGGTGAGATCAGCGTGCATTGATGTAGAGATCAGCGTGCTCTCTCAAACGACGTTCTCTCTCGCGTGTTTTGACCTCTCTGATCGCCCTGTCTTGCCGTCGTACCACATCCGACCTTTTTGAAGGTTAAGGCCTTGAGTTCAGCGTTCCCAAAGAGTTCTCTCGCTTCCCTCTCCACTTTGGGGTCGCTCCGCAGCTAAGCTATCACTGCGAAGCGCTCTTAGCACCAGCTTAATTACGGAGTTTGCCTTTAAGAAGCGATTACGCGATAAGAAATTTTCTGCGTCGGCGGAGGAACCTCGACCAGGAACACGGAATCAATTACTTGCTGCCAAGGAAGCAGACTGTGTGGTCCTCTATGCGAACAGGTCCTGCTTGGTTGCTGAGCAAACCCAGTGTACGCCCGCCGAGTGACGTAACGCCCACTAGTTTTGTTGATGATCTGGATGGACTGTTTGCTATTGGCTTTTCAATTTTGGATGATCATTTCCCTTCTAGCGGCTGTATCTTCCAACTTGCCCACGTATTGCCTTATCAATCAAACACTATGCTTGTTGGCATGATGGCGGCTATCGGGGTTAACACGTCCGAACAACGTCGTTCTTTACCGTCGCTCATCCATGGTCGAAAATGAAAGGGCAATCAAAGGGGTACTATTTTGCTTATTTTCGACGGATTTCTTTGCTTTTTTTTTTGAAAGTGGCGAACTATTGAGAGCCCCACGTCCCCTTTCAAACCCCTTTGAGATCTATCGTAATCGCTTCCTTCAAGTGTTGCCTCTAAATTTTCCCCGTATTTTGAGTGTTGGTTGTTAGCTCTTCGCTATTCATAAAGCAACAGTCCCAGTAGGGTTTCGACCATGATCCGAAGGGGTGGAAACATGCACTAGTCCTAGTCAAGTGCATAGGAAATGTCACTGCGATTGAAAAACTTTCATCCAATTTGAAAGGCTTGAAATGGTCTCGCCTGCCGAAAAAATAGCGGCTCCGACGAACTCGGTAGTGCCCCACTTCAGTCGTGAACGAGTGCGCTATTCGGCGAGATAGCAGACGTTTGCGCCCTTGCTGGGACCACAGGGACTGCTTTAGTGCCATCTAGAGTACATGCTATGTGATTGCCTAATCTTACGCTGGATTTTCTCTTTTTCATTCTTACCTCCTAGCCTTTGAAGCATAAAACAATTTCATTATTGCGCCCCAATTGCAATTACTGGCAAGTAGCCAGCGATTGCAACCGGGGCCATTTACTGCAGGCAAATGTGGTGTTTTGTAGTTCGCGCAACTGCCGCCCGTCAGGGCGGGTCCCGTACGGACGGGGGCTATAGGCGGGTCGACACAGCGGTAGCGTCGCGGTAACGCTGACCCCGCTGACGGGGAAGACGCTTCCCCCATTCCGGCTTGTCGTTCGTACAAACCGGTCGTGTCGCAATTCGCTCTTTATTTAATTTAATTTAAAATTGTTCGGTTATATTCTCAAACATAACGTTTACAACCGCACGTTCGTTTGCTCAACAGGGCCTAGTCTTATTTGGCCTATCGTTACTTTTATTCTATCCATCCCTCAATTACGCGGTATTTCGCAATTTTAACCAGGACACATTCTATTTATCTCATTTTCCTTATTCATAGTTGTTTCAGTGCACGGCACATTCCACTCTAATAGGAGATCCTCAGCATCCTTCGGTGGTCTATAGTCGGGGCGCCTACCTCGGTATTTCACAAAAGGAGCTACTGGAAGAAACTCAAGGAGCAGAGTACCTTAGTATCCCCTTTGATCACTTCATCCATCTACAGTGGTGAAGCCAAGCTTCTCCAAGCCCGGTTTACAGAGGCAGTATGAATTCAACTCTTCAATCTTGGCGATAGTGGAGCCGATAGCACAAGTAGCACCTCCAGAGCTGAACGTGAAGGCCGACTTACTGAAAGCAGTGAAGGCAATCAAACAGAGGAACGAGCTGCTTACTATTGCAGACAAAGACCCGGCTATATGGGAAGTGTACGACCAACATAGCAAGGCAGATAGCTATGACAGCGAATTCCCAATAATAGCCACATGTCTTAGAGAAAGGAAGAAGGAGCAGAAAAAGGATTCCAGCAAAGGGAAGCTCAAGTGGGGCCGTCCTCATCCTTATTCCAGGCAACAGCCCTTTCGGGCAGGAGGGGCGACCTGGGCCCTCGCTCCTCCCATGGACTCTTACCCTTCCTTCAGTCAGCAATCTTTCAAAAAATGGCGGCGCTCAGTCCCCATACGGAAACTTCTTCCGTCAACAAAGATTCGACAAACCGATGTGCTTCGATGCGGTAAATTCGGGCCATCTCCGCTCAGAGTGCAAAGGGAAGCAAAAGTGAGTTAATAGCGGGTGGCATTCACAGGAACATTCAATTCTGGTTGGGCCTCAAATTGTCCGGTTTCACACGCTCAGTGCTGGAGCAAGGATTTTCGCCTATCTTTCTTTACCAGCCAGATTTGCAGTTCAGTAAAGATAACGCTTCTTCAGCCATTCAATTTTCCGATTTTGTAGATACGGAAATCAATAATCTCATCATAGCCCAAGCAATACAGGAGATCGCGGAGCCATCCTGTATTCGAATTAACCCTATTTCAGTAGCCATAGGTAAGAAACTACGGTTGATTCTGGACCTGTCAAGGTTGAACAAGTATCTTCACACACCCAAAATTAAGTTCGAGGACATGACAAAGGTTCTTCCTCTTCTCCCAAAGAATGGCTACATGGCTTCTTTTGATTTCAAATCTGGCTATCATCATGTCAAAGTTCATCCCGACTTCACCAAATACTTGGGTTTTAAGTGGAAAGGAAGATCTTTCAAATTCCTCGTTCTCCCCTTCGGGTTATCCTCAGCTCCCTTTGTCTTTACAAAGTTGTTCAAACCTCTTTTGAGAAAATGGAGAGAAGAAGGCATCACTGTAGCCTTATACTTAGACGATGGCCTCATATGGGCTGATTCCGCACACCGGTGCGAAGAGTTCGTGAGAACTATTAGAAAAGATCTTGAACTTGCCGGCGTTACCATGGCCGAAGACAAGTGTTCCTGGATCCCGCTCCAGAGAATCACGTGGTTGGGCCACATCATAGATTTAGTTTCTTTTACTGTGAACATCACTCACGAGAGGAGAGAAAAAGCTAAAAATTTCACAATAAATTTACTAAAAAATAAAGGGCCCTCCCTTTTACAGCGTATGAAATGGCTGGGATACATTGCATCAATGTATTTAGTTATTCCTTCAGATATCCAAAAGAAATGGCGTTCCGTTATGACACAAGTGGCAGAAAAACAATCGATATTCACTTCTCTAAAATTCAGATGGAAACTATCCATTGAGGAGACAGGTGAGTTACAGAACTGGTTAGAGTTCGAAAAGACGTTGGAGGGTAAGTCTATGGACGCGCCTCTAGGGTATTCTGAGCCCTCTCTTCTGATTTTTTCAGATGCGTCCGAATGCGGGACGGGGGCTGTCTTATATTCGGGGCCAAATTCCAAAATTTCTACCTCATCACCATTACCTGTTCAGCTGCTCAAAACTTCTTCTACCGCTAGGGAACTGGCAGCCATTCTTTCAAGCTTGAAGGCTTTTGCAAGATACATTCCATTCAACGATTGTATCTGGTATTCTGACAGCCAGTGTGCTGTTCGTATTCTCGAAAAGGGGAGTTTAAAACCAGACTTGCAGAGACTGGCTCATCAAATTTGGCAATTATGTGATAGTCTTCAAACTCGGGTGAATTTCGTTTGGATTCCTAGATCCTTGAACTCGGAAGCTGACGCAGCTTCGCGATTCGTAGATTTAGACGATTGGAACATTTCCGATTATATATACAGAGAGCTCATAAAATCCTGGGGCGTATGTTCCGTAGACATGTTCGCCAGCCAAAGTACGGCTAAATGTATCAATTTCGTTTCCAGATTCGCCTGCGAAACAGCCCGCAGTGTCAACGCGTTCTCATCGGAATCCTCCACTTTCTGGAAGGACTCTTTCTGTTGGTGGGTTCCTCCTCCGCATCTTATCCCTAAAACCCTCTTATGGGCTAAACGTCACCACAGTGAAGGCATCCTTGGCTTTCCAATCTGGCCCACACATCTTTTCTATCCTTTACTTAGAAAGGGGAACTCGTGGATCCCAGAGATCCGTGACATTGTCATCTTCCCAGCGGGGAGTCCGGTACTGCAAGGTTCGTCACCTTCATATACTTTCGGTTCACACACCTTAAATTTCCCTTTTGCTTTCGCACTACTCTCTTTTATACCCCCTTCCGGGCTTTAATCTTTTTCCGCTGTTTGTTGCGTGAAACTACAAAACGTAGGTTTCGTCGTAGAGTATCGGAGATGAAAGTGGTGTTTTGTATTTCGCGCAACTGCCGCCCGTCAGGGCGGGTCCCGTACGGACGGGGGCTATAGGCGGGGTCGACGCGGTAGCGTCGCGGTAACGCTGACCCCGCCGACGGGGAAGACGCTTCCCCCATTCCGGCTTGTCGTTCGTACAAACCCCCACCGTCCCACCCATCTTACTAGTTTTCCCATACATTCCTAGTTTTTTCTCCTTTCAGATCCGCCTCCCGGAAGCCGCCAAGTCGCGGCTGAAGCCACAGCTCATCTAGCAGCTCACCTGGGGTTGGAGGGAGTGGCTCAGGTCATTCAGACATGTATAGACCATTCAGTAGCCCCGGGAACCCTAAAAATTCTATAAAAGGGTGAAACAAAAGTTTCTCCAATTCATTAAGTCCCTTAAGGTGGACACACGGGAGCTCTCCAAAATCCGCAATATATTCATAGCACAGCTCATATGTAACGGCCAAAACCGCTCCTTAGGCTACCATGTGGCGGCGCTCTCCCATTTTTTCGGCCCTCTGGAGGAGGACGACTGCGATATTCTAAAGGCCCTACTTTATGACGCCAAAAAAAGTAGGAGTCCGGTCCAACATAGGAAAAAAGCCTCCAGAGCGGATGTGGATAAAATAATAAAGTTCGCTCTAACAAATACAACGGCGGCTAATATAAGAGCAGCCACCAGCATAATGCTGGCATTTTCAGCACTTCTCCGGGTCAGCGAAGTTAGCCAACTTCAGTTCCAGGACTTTTCCTACCAAGGCGACGGCGTCTGGTGGGTGCTTATTAAAAGGTCCAAAACGGACCAATGCGGCCAAGGAACACCATTGGCATTCAAATGGGGTTTGCCGGAGACCCAGCTATGGCAGGCATTTTGCCATCTTAGGAGGCCGCTCTACCCGCACAAGTTCCTCTTCAGCTCCACCGATCCGGCTCCCCCATCCAGGGACTTCCTCTCTAGGAATATGGCGGGCGTAGTTGCGCGGGCAGGCCTAAAACATAAAAAGCTCACCTCGCATTCCTTTAGAGGAGGGGCCGCTACCCATGCCATAAGGCAAGGAGCCGATTCGGGCCGAGTCATGCTGGCAGGGCGTTGGAAATCCTTTGAGGGTTTTAGGAATTATGTCGACCCTTCCCCTCTCTAAGGAGGACCCCATAACTGGCTCTTTTTTGTTTCAGTGCGGCAATTCCGGAGGCGTGACAATTGGATTAGAGTGCTGTTTCAAGCAAAGCGAGGAAATCAACACGTCATCAACGTTTCAATATCGGCGACTTCAAGACGTCTCCATCGGTTCCGGCAAATGGAGTATTCGATCTTTATATGTATTAGAGGTTTTGATACCTAATTCCATGTATAAAATGTACATTCTGTTGTGTAGGTGTCTTACCACCATATATATTACTCACATGTTCGTTACAGTTTAGCCATAAGGCTCGTGCATTGATGTCTCTATCTCTATTTTAAGTAAGGTTCTGTCATGCTTAACTGACGGTGTACATATCAGTCGTTATACTCATACTTCTCAGCATCTGTTTCGTCGGTCAGATACGGTTTCCAACATTCCGCTTCGGGTTCATTAGGAGCTTAATACCAGTTATCAGTGACGTCATTTATCCTGTTATCACTCAGTTATGTCTCGGTTACCCAGCCCGTACCAGTGGCAGATTCTGCTGATCTAAGCTTTGTCGTTATTCTATTCATGTTATAACCACGGTTGCCCAAAGCTATAAGCCACAGGGCTATAAGTGTATTCGTTGTTTCACTTCTAGTTTTTGTTAAACTGTTGTTCATTGCGCTAAGGACCCTAAAGTCCCTTATGAAGGTCTTTCCCAAGACCATCTTATTGTTAGTTTTTTTCGTTAAACTGTGTTATCACCTAAGAACCCCAAGGTTCCTTTCATAGGTCTTCCCCAAGACCATTTTATTGTATGCGACACGACAGTACGACACACATAAAGCCTTCTTCCTTGTTGCGTGAAACTACAAAACGTAGGTTTCGTCGTAAAATATTGGAGACGAAAATAGACAACTCGTGCGACACGCGTCTTCCTCCATTGCTAAGCGGTAGAGGGGGAGTCCCTGTTTATATCCCTTTTCGACGTTTTTTTGCTTTTTCTTTCATTATCGGTTAGCTTTTCACCTCACAACTTCATTATCGGTGGTTTTTAGCCCGCGAATTCGGTCTGGATTGTTGCTTAAATACTACTCTTCCTCTCCTCTTCTGACACGTGCTTGCGCGTGTAATTACAAATAAATATAAAGCTCGTCCGGACACGCCTCTCCTTTATTTGGACGGGAAGAGAGGGAGTACTTAGGGAGCTTTATCGGTGGTTTGTTTGAATCGCGAACATTCGCCATTGAGTTTTTGTTCTGTTTCTTGATTATGTTATTATCTTCTACGCTGTCGCCCCTGATAACCCCAGAAATACATCGTAATTTCGCAATCATCGATTTGGTGCCAAAACAGGGTCGCGCGGGGTGTTTAAAGAAAGGGGATTCGATACGATACCCAGTTAATCTTGAAATTCGCTTCTCGCATTCTCCTGAATTCTCACGCCATATTCTGTCATTAATTATTCTACATTCGCTGTTACTGTACTGTACAAGCTAAGAAAGTCACTGAACCACTGGACCGCAATTTTCTTAGCTTCCTTTTTCATTTCGCTTTGCATCCACAATTTCATTTCGACCGCTGTGTCCCACCAATTTAATCTGGGGTTGTTGCCTTAACACATTGACGACAACGCGGGGGATATATATCCCGCGCATTGCAGGCCATGTCGGACCGTGCGGGATATATATCCCCCGCACCCATTACACTCATTTTTTTCGCGCACGCCTGATTCTTTTAGAAGTTTCTTGTATTCATTCCATGGAAGAGACCTTGACGTAGCTACAAACATAGTGGCCCTTAGAATGGTCACGTATACTTTAATTTAGAGGAGGATTTCTGAACCATACGAAATCTTCATTTCAATAAATTTTTCGTTTACTTTTTCTTTTTATGAATGTGAAGATTTAAATAGTAGTAGAAGTAGATAAGGAACCTTAGGGATGACAATATGTGTGTTTTGATTGGAATAATCAACGTAAAATTGCTTTTGAGGTCCATTGCAGCTAGTTCTGAAAATTTCGCTTTTTCATTGTTATTCCATGTCTTTCGATCGAAATTCCACTACTGTACCCCTGGTAGGTTGTGCTCATTACAATTTACTGATCTGGTTTTGAATTGATCATTATTTATGTATTTATCACTCAAAATCTGCTTGAACGACCTGAGGCGAGCGCGCCCGCAAAATCGCCGCGGTCCCACGTGGCCAAAAAAGCCAAAACTCGCGTTGTCGTCAATGTGTTAACGAGCTGTGAGGATCGACATTTGTGGACGAGTTCTCGCGGTTTGTCCAAACTACGGTAGCTGGCTCGACACGTCCACCACCTACCTCGTAATACAGAATATATGGTGAAATGAGGAAAGTGGAATAGTGGCAGTCAGCATAGGTTCAGGGTAGGGTACCGCGTCTTAAAACTCGCATTCTTCATGTTCGAAGACAGTGGGTGCGATGAGTGAGTGGTGGAACGGTTTTGATGGCCAACATTGGCGTAGGGGGTCAGGACCACCTCTCTACGTCTTTTCACTAGTAACACTTTCCGATGTCATCGGAAGCGCTCTGTGCGCTCTTCCAATGGGGAAGAGAGCATTGCGGTTCAGCCGTTAGTTCCACCTAGGGGAGATTGCATTTTTTTGCAGGGGAATGAAATTGCAGGATGTATAAACCATTTGACCTCCACTTTCGTCCAGAACCCTGGGCTTCCTTTCCTTGCGGAAAGTCGTATTGTCGAACAGTCTTTCGCCAGATGCCCTCCCCTTACTTGGAGAGCACCCACCTCCACCTCCCAGGTATCGCACCCGCTGTCTTTGTCCAAGTGCTTCTCCTATTGCATTATTTTCTTCAGTACGAGAATCATGGTTGGTCTATATAGGTGGAAACTTCCCAAAAGTCGTAACAAGAACTTTCAATCAAATGGAGAGGTTGGAACACACGGGACGTAATCTACTCTCTCTTATTTTATTTTACGCTAAAGTACTACAGTACGCCTAGACAACTAGCCAGAAATGCCGTAAGCGTTTGCCGCGTTATGAGCGCTGGAGCTGGAAGTTGACACAGATGGGCGAGCCACTGCTGGATGAAGCGTACACCCTTTCTGGTGGAAAATGAGTGTTTTGTAATATCAGGAGGGGCCTCCCTGAACCTTCGAAGAGAACAAATAAGCCCTTTTGCGTAGCATTGACGCGTTGCTCAAACGACTACTTCCCAATCCTTCTCTTCTTTAAAGGAATCTTGCGCGGAAAATTCTTGCACTCTTTCCTAACATGAATATGTCAGTTGTGATCACTGGAAATAGCACACAAAGTTTCACGCATGAAGATTCGGTTTCTGAAGAGAAACAAACGTACAAAAACTACACGTTATGGACCATCGAAGGGACCAGGAGGCAGAGCCAGGCGAGGCATGGAAAGAAGACGGCGTTTGGCCGGCTACGTACCAGGCGACGCAATGAGAGAATCGGGTTAAAGCGCGCGATTTCGGAGAGTGGAGACAAATCGATCGATGGAATAGGATGGAGTAAGATGTGAATGCAACGAAGCAGAAGGCCAGAAAGAGCTTCTAGTGAATGCACTCCAAGAACCAAGTTTGAGCATCCCCGTCGCCAGCATTCGTGAAAGACGTCCGTGGGCAATTCGAACGCGTAGCAGCCTTTTCGAGTTTTCGAATTTCTAATCAAAACGAAAGCAATACTTCAGTTCTTTTCACTATTATCGTGGATAATGAGTCTCAAGCCAGTGATTTATGGCTGAAATAGAATCATGATTTTTCCGCGCAAGATTCCTTTAAGCTCTATCTGAGCTAAAGCGTCGTATGAGCCGATTTTCAAGACCGGAAGTGAGTCCGTTCACCGTCGGCGAACCGCAAATCCTCCCCAACATTCAGTATACGGCCCCAGCAGAATACCAAAAGGGCTGGTTTGCTTACTTCTGAATTCCATGTTGGATTGGAATTTATGCTGATAGGGAGAGCTGCCCCTCGTGGTAGCGCAGACCAAGTCGCCGCACCGCAGAACTTCATGCCACGAAGACCGGACAGCAGCGGTCACCGGTAACGACGAAGAAACGCCTTCTTCACGAGACGTGCGCCAGCAAATAGCAACCTGGGACTACTGGTTCTTGGAAAGATGCCATTCCTAATGTGTGTCTAATACCGCGATTACGAATATTCCTTCTTTTCCGTTTTCCAGAGGCCCAGTGTTAAGATAGTTCAGATAGGTCTATATGGGGTGCTCAGTATAACGCCAAAATCCGTCAAAAAAACGCAAAAAACTTACTCCTTTTTCAGCGTTAGTTTTCACTCATGAAAGGTACACACTTAGAAACGAACTAGTTGAGGGCACGCGTTGGTATAGCATGCCAATCCATGCTACAGTCGAGTTGCTTCAGTTGTGCCGCTGCTGGCAACGTCCAAATCACCCACTATACCAGTGGGCGGATCGCTTCTGGGGGCGGAGTGCTTTCGAAGTCCTGCTCAGCAACCAGCGAACCTAACTGGCAGCCGAGTAAACTGACTCGTGTATCATAGTTCCGGCGATGCACTCCGCTTTAAGATTGGCCCGGCAAACGCCGGAACCTCCCTACCTTGCGTAAGCTTTCCCTTATCCCTCTCTTACTACTCTCCCTCGCGTTCCCCTCTGCTCGCCGGCTACCACAGCATCACCTTGTCGAATGACCGAAAGTGTGCTAAGTGCGTGTTTATATATACAGGGGGGGGCCAAAAAAAAGACATTTTGTCTCCGCGTTCTGATGGATTTAAACACATTTTGCCTAATTCAAACCGAATCGACCCAACTTGGTATTAAAGAGCACATTTCATTTTATAAGAAAATCTTCATAGTGGCCTCCTACATGGACGGCATCAGAAAAATTTGCCTCAAAAACATCGTGCGCTGGTCGAGCTCAATGGGGTCTTCGAAGGATCGTGTACCATAACGACCTTCCCTGGAAGGCGGGTTCCAAGGGGGTTTGCATAGTGGGAGCTAAGGTCTCTAAGAATCTATCCAACGTTGAATCGATTCACGAAATTACGTGAGAGCTTCAGGCTGAAGCAGTTACAGTAGGCCTCCTTGAGCTTGACGACGATGACAGATGACGTCATATTCTGAATACGGTGAGGGCAGTGAGAGGGCCTGCGGCTCCACTATAGAGCATACATTTTCAGGCGGATATTTTGCTGAACTCCACGTCAAACGACGGCAGTCTTACTGGCCCGAAGAAGAATGGCCGCAAGTGCGTACATGGCCAAATGTCTTTTCTTTTTTGCCCCCCGTGTTTATCTTGCTGGGGATGCTATCACACAATCATGCCATTGCAAAACACTAATAGCTAAAGTCCTGTAAGCTACCCGATTTGTTGTTAGCGGTTTGTTTATCCCATGAGCTTCCTTCTCACTCACTTCATTTTGCGGACGGACACACATACATACATACACACACACACACACACACACACACACATACAGATACACAAACCGACACACAAAGTTAGCGCTTTATATAAAATAGAAGGATAAGCTAAAGAAGAATGCGCCCGTCCATACAGCGTTTAGCCCAACTTTCTTATTATGTGGACGTTTCCGACCCTTCATCGAGACTGCCGAAGATTAATACAAAGATTTTCCCATGGCTACCCCTAGTCCGGTTTGTCGGAATATATAAATTTACCGTTCTCATCTGTAGGCTATATAAATTTATCTACCTACTACTTACTTCTGTAAGCATGTGTATTGTTAGAATTTTTTGATTACAATATTCAGTTTCGTCAATAAATATTATGGTAATTATGTTCCTGTATTTTTCGACTAATTTCCTGCGAAATCTTTATTGAACCGTTGCGGTTCCTTACGCAGTGACACACTACTATTTCAGTTCCACTCGTTAGAGGAATAATGTCCTTCAGAGTTTTTTCTTCTTCGTGAGCGCCATACTGCGGCGAGGACAAGGACAGTAGGTGGAGTCTCTTCCCGGACGTCCAGGCATTCCGGCGGTTCCCGGTTGGCCGTCCATGCCCTTGTTTCCGGGAGTTCCCGCAAGTCCAGGTGGTCCCTGGTGTCCAGGTGTACCCGGTGCACCATCGTTTCCACGAGCTCCCGCTTTGCCGGGTTCTCCACGTGCTCCAGGCATTCCAGGCATTCCTTGCCGTCCAACGCCTTTGCGTCCGTCCTGACCGGGTTGTCCAGGTCGCCCATCCATTCCAGGATGTCCTGGAGTTCCTCCGTCTCCTGGGGGACCTTGTGGTCCCGGTTTGCCATTCTCTCCGCGAGGGCCAGGGTTTCCTGGTCTGCCGTCCATTCCTGGATGTCCTGGAGGTCCATCGGGTCCAGGCGGTCCTTGAGGTCCCGGCGGACATCTGATGCAAGAACGATCAGGAGCTGGGCAGTGAATGGGAGCGTAGACAGTCATGTCATCTCTTCCGGGCTGACCAGGAGGACCAGGGTTACCTGAAAGCGGAAAATTATTTTCGAAATTTCTACTGAAAAGATATTTTAAGGAGCCTACCAGGCTGTCCAGGCTGGCCAGGTGGACCAGGTGGTCCTGGTGGACATGTGATCCTGGGTGGCTCGCAGACACACCACGGTGGTAGAGCTTGTCTCTTCTGACGGAAGATCGAGTTGAACGGATTCTGACGAGGTTTTGACGGCGGTGTCACCGTTATTTGAACGTCCATCATCTCGACCCAGGCCGAGTCGGTCTCGACACGA